GGGATCCATATGAACTTTTTGAACTCCGTGGTATTTGTTGGGCTTTTTCAAGCTAAGAGGGTGGAGAACACAAAGCTTTCTTCTCACATTTTAGTCTTCAGGCCACAGAATCTTCTGCATCTATGCCCTAGTGATGTTTGCCTCCAGTAAATCTGAACTGCACTGGGCAGCTGTGGAAGAAAGGCAAAAAACAAAAAAGCCTGTGTCTGAAACATTTGTGTTTGTGTGCATCCTCGCCTGTACAGCTGGTCTGACTCAGCTCTGAAGATGCCATGCAGCTGTTCCTCTGGAGCTATACCTGTGGGCAAGCAGCAGCAGAGTCCAACATCTATGTACATCTTCCCAATCTCCAGAGTTCATTTTGTCCCTACCCTGTCATGTTTAATCATGAAGCATTAAGCTTTTTCTTACTGGATATTCATGTGCATATGTTCAGAACTTACAAGGCCAATCTACTATTGTTCCAGTTTTCCTATTGATGTTTTTCTTTCTAATCAGAGCCCAGGGACTTGCTACAAGCTCCAGTCTTTCAAAACTGATTACTTCCTTGCTGGATCCCTGTTTACTCTACTGCAGTTCTCTAAGGCTGGGTTCAAATTGGTGCAAAATGACTTTGCCTTTTCTGTGAAGAGAAGGCAGGATTTATCTTGAGTACTGTGGAGCTCTGGCAAGTCAAGGCAAATGAGAAGTGCCCCTTAGGATATCTCTGCTGCTGCCTGGCCATAAGGGCAAAGTGGCAAGATATGGCACATCCTCTTGAAGCTTGGGGAAGTGTGCTTGGGAAACTAAAATGTCTCACTACATATCCAATGAGTCCATCTTGCTGGGAAGGCAGGGAACTAAACCAAACCAAGCCAAACTAAATCAAACCATTATGAAAGGAAATTTTGAGAAAAAACAAGTGCATCTCCAGTGCTGTTGGATCTGCAGTTCCAAAGTTAAGCAATAATCGCCACAGAAGAAATGAAGCTAACCTAAGGTACAGTTGGATAATAACAAAATATTTCTAATGCTAGAAGGTTCCAAAATGTGTAAGGCAAGCAGCACTTGCATTGCTCGTGTGTGGAAAGAAAAAACTCATGGCAAATGATCCTTGTAAGGAAGAGCAGCAGATCCCAAATGAGTTTCATGTCAGTAGGGGATGGTCCTAACAGCATTCCAGGCTGAAATCCAAATGGCTCAGACATAAGTGGAAATAAATGAGATGCTGGAATCCCAGTGGATCATGCAGCAATCTCAAGTGGCAGCCAATCTCCCAGTTTCCCAAAGGTTTACCTACCAATCTTGTCCCTTCAGAGGAGTAAATCCTGTTGCTCATTTTTGTGCAGCTCACTTTCAGATACACATGCACACAGCACAGAGTATACTGATATGGACATTTATACAAACCATAAGTTTTGTTTTAGGAAGATTCCTATCAAAAGGGATGTAGAGATGAAACATCAGAGGAAGACCATTGCTGTGGTGAGAGGCTGGGAACTCTTGGCCAGGCATGACAAACAGTATAAGTTCCCTTTGCCTTTCAAAAGAACCTTGAGATAGCTCTGTTAGATAGATTATTCCACAGTCTTTGTAGTTTTAAGGATTGCTTTTCTAATGAGGTAAGAGAAGTCAAAAGAAATTAATAGCCAAGATAAGAACCATCAGTCTGATACAAATAAAGTTATAAAGCTTACAATATATCACAATCTGCGACAGATAAAGGAGTCTAAACACAAAGGAGGGTTCAAGAGGAAGCTGATATCGGGAATATTTACACCCTCAGTTCTCTTTTTAAGAAGACAATTGAGCCACAGTTTGCAATTGTTGCAGCTGAAGTGGGTGTCACTGTTGGAGCTTAGTATGAGGACATCACCCTCCTGCTGTGCTGCAATTCGTCCTGTTATGTGTCTCCAGTGTGTTTCCACAAGCCTACGTGCATGTCCTCGTATGACCATGTCCTTATCACATAAGTGACACCACAGTGCCAGTAAGAGCTAACTATAGAACTCTCCCTTGCCACACTGTTGCTTTCCTGTACCTCCCAGGACCTTCCTGCATCCTAACCCCAGATACAGCTACATCCCTACTTGTCTGATTGTCATGCATGTTTTAGGAGCTAAACTTTGCATTCCAAGTAAGGAGCCAGGCATCAAAAAATATTATTGCTACTGGAGCCAATTTTGATGCTGAAATTTTCCATGGGAGCTGGGTCTCACAACTCAGCATTAGCAAAAGGACTCTGAAATGCCTGCATCCATTCTATCACTTATATAAAATTTTAGCTCCCTACTATTCTATATGTATTTTAAACCCATTGAGCAAAATCAGGGTTGAGTTCAGTGGCATAACTTTTGCTCTACTTGGTTTTGTTTTTTTCCATGAAGATATTACATCTTTTGCAATCACATCTCTTTCCTGATACGCAACTTCTGCAGTACATCTAAGTAAGTGCACATTTCCGAACTCCTCAGATCTGCTATTTTCTGGATTGTTTATTTTCTGTGTATTTTGGTCATGAGCTTCGGGACTGTTGAATGTTTTCAGTGAACAAATGATGCCTTCTCTTTTTTTGGAACAGACAATTTATTTGCAATAGAAGTGTGAGATACAGTAGAATACAAGTGGGAACCAGAAAATCATGTATTATTTCATAGTGTATTCTTCAGTAGATTATTCCAAACGTAACACATGGAAAGTTTAAGTCCTATAACATTAGTTCTGATATGATGGTGACTAAACATCTCCACATTAAGCAGTATTGTGGAAAAATCATCAAACACAGTTTGCTCTACCTCATTTGTCCTCAATTACAAAGACTGCATCAGCATGATTTAAATTGAATAAGTAACAAATAATTCAGTCTGTATTTGCATCATGTCTATTTGTAAGTCACTGAGAAACTCAGATACACACAGGTTAATTTGAGAGTCAGAATGTGTGGCATTCACATCTCTCATCTTGGACAGAAAGGTTCACAATGTAAATTCTCACATATTTTATTTAGAATATAAATAGTGGGTGGTGTATAACATTCTGCATGTGCTACGCAGACTTAGACTAAAATGTTGCAGATTTCAGATGCATCTGCTGTTAACTAGCATTAGAAAGGTGAAAGCCCTATCTGAAGGCTATTTATCTTTTTAGGCATCTATCATGCCCAATAATTAATAATTAAAAATAAAACACATTTTGAAAAACTCATGTGTAAATACATGTGACAAGCCTAAATGCTGCATATGAGTCTTTCTCCTGCTTCCACTGAATGAAAAAACTCCCATATACTTCAACAAGAGAAGGGTTATGACTCTCAAATGCTGCAGGAATCTTTTTTCTTTCTTTCCCATGAGAATAGTTAGGATTTGGCTGATAAACTCCTCAGGATTTAGGCAACCTGAAAGGTATTTGTGTGCCTTCGTGTAACCACCTTCAGCTTTCATCCTTTCTTTTCTGAAGTTCGGGGATTAAATATTCTGAGTATGCTCGTTAATGTGCAAATGCAGTGTTGGAAACACCTGTGCCATCATGGAGGGGTATGAGACTCATCCACAATTTTTTCCAGAATAATGGTGAAACGCCTGTCAAGCTGACTGTGATTGATATATAACCACCAACATTAACCAACATTAACCAATACATATGCTAAGTGTTCTCAACCCATAAGAAGGTGATACCAGTCTATTATGTAACAAGCTGTTAAATAATTGTTTTTATAATGATGCCACTGCAAAGCAACTTAGAGAAGCACATACCCTTGAAGTTTAAAGCCGAGTCCTAAGGGGTGCTGAGGTGTGATGTTACTTTAATATACCTTGAACACCACGAATGGTGATCTGTTGTGGGGTACAATGGGCTTTGGTGGCAGTTATACCTAAGGATTTACTTTAGGGTGAGTCATAAACCTCAAGTCGAATGTATCTCCTTCCATAATTTACTATCTTGCTTAAAAGTGCTTATTTTGGAAAAACTACAGTGAAGTGCATGAGAGGAGCCATCAGCTCCCCAAAAAGCTCAGCATCATTTTCTTTGCAGCTAAAAAAAACTTCTCCATGAGTTTGATTCCATGGAAGCAGGAGCAACCTAACAGTTCTCACCTTCCTAAACTGGCCCATGCATGACTGCATCCTTTATTGGCTAATGGTCTCTTTACTTTATCTTCTCTTCTTTCTCTTGATCTTTTCAGGAGCCTCAGCATCTTATCTCCAATACTCTTGTTGAGTAAGGAGTTCTTCTAGGTCTGGTTCTGAGTGTTTGCCACAATTCATTAGTAAACTGTGTTTCAAGGAAAAAAAATCTTCTAATTGAGTTGGCCAGTACCATGCTCAAGCTATGCTCACCTCTGCAGCAGAATCAGACTATGTGAAGAAAACAAATACCACACCATTTGTGTAAAGGACCCTTAAGCATAAAGCAAATCACAGCTTCTTATTCAAATAATACAGCACCATGTAAAATCTGCATATTATGAGTTCCTAAGGAGTGCTTTTAAATACAAAAATGCAAAAATTTTAACAATCCACCAGTGCTGTGAATATAACGCTCTTCACTTTACCTGCTTAAGCCATGAAAAAGGTTTAATCAAAATGTCCCTTTAACAAACACAGTGTTTGAAGGAAAAAAAAAAAGCCAGAACAAATGTCTAGAGAAAAATAAAGTACAGGACAAACAAACAAACAGAAAAAAAACCCACTACTTTTACTCTTTCTAATTGAATCTATTTAGGATGAATCTTACCCATTTAAAAAAAGGCATACAGGAATCCAAACGCCACAACTATGTTGCTCATCCCCAGGAGACTCAGTTCCTGCTGTGGCTTAACTCTTATCTGTGATCCTTGGCTCTTGCTTGGCTCTTATCTCTGATTTCATACAGCAGGTCAAATACCAGCAGGTCCCTAGCCACGTTCCTGCCTTTGAACCACGATGCTGTCCTGAGAAGTACAGATAGGGACAACCATCAGCTCTTTTACCATGCTCCGCAGGTACATGACAGGAGTACGTCTGGCCAGGAGCAGGGCTGTCACTGGGTCACCCCAGGAAGCCCATGTGTGCCATGTGCTGTGCCCGCACAGCAGAGGCAGGAGCAGGGCCCAAATGCAAATGGTGGAGGAATCACAAGGAATCACAACTCTAGCGCTCGACGCAGGGAGCTTGTGCCACTCCCTAACAGGGTTTTTAAGGCAAGAAAAGTGTGAAAGTAGGAGAATGAGTACAGCAGGACATGCTGGAGCTATACAGTGCTATGAGTTGGAATAGCAGAATTGCCCTTGGATCACAGTGCACAGATTTGAGTTTAGCAGTGGTTTATTATCTCACTAGAAGCATCTAATTCCCTGTAATAAAGATTGCATGTAGAGCACGACAAAGAGGAGACAAGTCTATTACAGCCCACAGCCAGGACTAATGCTTTTTTTCCCTCTTATTCTTAAGTAGGCAGGAATAGCTTTTCAATTTCAAAATAAAAACTATACAATTACAGTAATAACATAATGCTCCTGACTGTTTGGCAGCTGCATGTTGTAAAACTCAAAGCCACTGATCAGAAGCAAAAGCAGTAAGTAACAGCTTTACAGAAATGTTCTGGTGAGATGATTATGTCTATCAAAATACTTATATGGGGGAAAGCCTGGTTACTGATTTCATGTCCCCTTCCCTCAAAAACCCTTCAAGCATTTGCATCTTTTCCTAACAACAAATAAAGCAGCCTTTACTGGAGATGTAATTAAGACTAGATGAGCTGTGGAACAAGAGAGGATCCTGTTCAACTAGTTAGGCATCAGTTACGACAAAAAGGCAGAAGCAGTCATATTTTTATGCTCTGTTATAAAAAATACTTCTCCATCAGTATTTCAATACAGTTAAAATTTAAAAACTCTCTACATTACTAATAAATTATAAACCCCAAATCTCCAACCATCTTGTAAGGAAGTAGGTAAGTAATTTAAACTTTTAGTTTACATAAATTCGCACGGAAATCTGTATTTAAACAAGTGCACTGAAAACAGATATGCCTTCTTTTCTTCTGATAGGTCTTATTTGAGTTATTATGTAACAGGAAAGCCATTATATTCTTTGCATGACCTTGAGAGTCTGCTAACAAGAAGTGGTCAATAGTCAAACCCCAGGAGAATGTTTCACCAGATAGACAATGTCAGAAGTGAGCATGAAGTACAGTTAAACACTTTCTAGCCTTATTACGGTAGACTTCAACATTCAATTTCAGCATATTTACTCCTGGGAAGAGATGAAGGTAATACATTTATACAGCAAATCATATGAGTGAAATTTGATGGGTTGATCGAATTTTTTCTGGAGCCTATTAAAATATAATTTATTTCAGAGGTAGTTTGCAAGGTAGTAGTGACATACGTGAGTGGAAACAATACTCCTTCGCTTGACTTTGGATAAAATTCTTAAATACTGTTGGTGCTGTCCCTGAACCTCACAGAGAATGCTTAATGGATAGGATGTTCTAATCAAAGCTGACAACAGTCAATTAAGTGTCAGAAGAACAATCTGATAAGTAGGTCTTCATGTCTATAGGCATTTCCTGATACGTCTCATCTGTCAATCTGAATGTTAAACATCTCTATCTTCGTCTCATTATTGACTGATTTATTAAAGAAGAATGCTTTCATCTCTTTTTGACTTTGGGGTTGTTCCAGAAAGAAAGGAAGGAAAATAGTAGGAACAACTCCTAATTTGGAATAATTCATGGGAAATCCTAATTATAATGAAGTCCTAATATTCCAGTTGAGCAGATGTATGGTTTGTTGATGGTACCACACAGCTGCCTTCACCACACCTTTTAAGAAATGGTAGATGCTCAGTTTAGAGGAGATCTGTTTCTTTAATAGGTGGAAGGATATCTGTGGACTCGCTGGCAGGCTGCTCTCTGCTTTCAGTGCTCCTTGCTAGTCATACAGAAGACAGCACCTCACTTGATGGATCTCTTCCCTTCTTGTCCTCACTCCTGTCAATATCAATCACATGGACAACGCCAGGCTTCAAGATCAGGTCGTCGGACTCTACATGGCTCCTGGTGTCATCCACTTCTATGTATTTCCCTTTGGATGGCTGGGCAGCTTTACTGAAGACATCTTTAAAACGGCGCTTGAGCTCCACATCTGGGCAATAGACATATTCATAAAGAGCACCAGCAAGGACTGCTCCTATTATTGGTCCCACCCAATAAACCTACAAAGAGAGGTGGAAAAAAACATTGGCATTAGGTTCCAGAGCAAATAAAGAAGCCAGAATCTCAGAGAAGAGCATGTCACTGCAGACTTCATTCAGAAAACTTCCCGGCCAATCATTTAAACCAACTCTGTTTTCCAGAAATGCTTGTTCACACAGTTCATTGGATTTCATGAACTGGGATAAAATCTGACATCATATCAGTTTACAAGGCAGAGAAGTCTAACTACCCAAGGTTTCACATAAGGTGATGTGGAGCTTAGCAGTGAAGTGAATTCTCTAAATTGAGGCAGGAAATTGGTCAAAAGGCAGTCTCTTAGGCAGTTAATGGTATTAGTTCCATGCATTTTTCTTACCTCTCTGCTTCCTCTCAGTCTCCCATCTCTCACATGCATTTTGTCCACTTCAGAAATACTCTCTATTCACCTTGCATGTAATCATCTAAATCGCCTCACACCTTTTGGGTGCAGATCTTCCCTAAAAATTCCTCTCACACCAGCACTGAGGGAACCACCAGATCACGTACCATATGAAGCAGAGGAGAAGAGGGAACTATGATGACATATCAGTAAGGTAGGGATGTTGCTTCCCTGATGTCTGAGAAAGATTTCACTCTACATATCTGGTTAGCAACCTCCTGTAGTGGACAGGTTGAATAGCTTGTTGGGTTCTGCAACTTACTAACTATACCCAACAAAACTAAAGTTCAGGTTCTTCATCATCTTTAGTTGGATCAATCATATATACAACATTTCTTGAGAAAAAAAAGGCCACAGATCTTTGTGGGTTTGGGTATGACTTGTGAAATACTACTCTATAGTTATGTACAACATAGAGTTGCTCTGGCACAGTTTTTTTCTAGACTACCAAGAGTAAGGTGATTGAGAAGCAGCCCCATATCCTCAAAGCAAAATGGGTTTGTCAACTTCTGACCTCTTTCCAAGAAGCCTTCTCTAAACTTTCATTGTTTATTTACCAGCTGTAGATAACATACTTGTGCTGTTTGCAAGATGCCACACAAAATAAATACCAATGTAGAAAACTGATCTTTCTGCATTTTTACTCCAGAATGATTATAAAATTGTAAGGAAGCAATTTCTATCCTAGTACATACATACAAGCAGTTCTACTTCAATATTTCAGACTCACATTTCCAAAGAGTCCAAATTTGACTTTTGATCCAGAAGACTCCAACAGGCAGGCAGCTATCTTATTATCTGATCTGATAAACAAATACGACTGACACATACAACTTTGGAGGGTACCTATCTATTTTAGTATGACATGCAGCAGTTCTGTAATATTAGTAGGTGCAAAGGCCTCTCATACTAATGTCACTGCTTTGAAGGAGGAGAAAAAGGCCTGATTCCCAAATGACCAGCAGAGAAAGCTAAGCTTCTCCTAAAACTTTCAACATAGTAAATTTGTTTATTGTTTACAGCTTTAGTCACAAATTACAGGCTCCCTCAGAGTATGGATAATTAATCTTGTGAAAAACTACAGCAGATTTTTCATAGGAACAAGCCACTCACTGATAACTGGGTAAATCTGCCTCAATAGGATAACTCTTGGGAACAAAATTACACATGGTATCGTGTTTGCAGAATTGGAGCCTCAGGGCCTGAAAACAATGCTATTTCTGTTATTAGCTTCAGTGGGAGCAATGTGGGCTCCATACTTTAAAAATCAAGGAAATCCTTACATGTTCTGCAATACTCAGCTCCCACAGTTAGTACTAAAAGCATCCCTGGAAGTGCTTTCCCTATGTTTAATTAGGTGAGGCTGAGCTGTGATCCATCTCTCCCTATAAAATGTTCATAAGTTTAGTAGTGGGATGCTACAGAAACTGCAACACTCACGGTCTGTTTATTAAATTGTTTCCTGCACAAACACTCCTAGTTAAGCCAATCTGCTTTCTAATCAAAGCAGATAACATCTGGTCCAGCTCATAAAGACCAGGTTGCAACCCCTTCATCTCTCTCTGTGGGCATTTGATTTGGCAGGCTCTCCCTCTGGAACCAGATCACAGGGAGTCCCTGCTCTCATATTGTGTCTGCCCCAATTTGCCATAGAACCAGGTGAAACGTGAAGCCAACAGAATTACTTCCATAACTTCTCACCAGCATGACCTGAGAGTTTGCAATCTGTTTTGGAGGACTTTTTGTGTCTCGCAGTTCAATTCTTCCCATGTCACTGGATTGTTTTGTTGTTGTTTGTTTGTTTGCTTGTTTTGCTCTTTTGGTATGATTTTCTTCTACCCAAGTTACTCCCTCCACAAAATGGCCCCCAAGTAGCTAGATGCTATCTAGCATGCTGTCTACCACACTGCAGTCCTAGATGTGAACCAGGACCGTACTACAGAGTGTGGCAGTTCAGTACCTGTCTTCCCGGTGATGGTCTTGATGGGATGTGAAAAAAATTGAGTGCTTTATGAAAAAATGTGATGGATGTTTGCTGCTAAGAGGAAGGAAGTATGAAAACAGAGTTACCCATTGGTTTTCCCATTTTCCCATGATGACAGCAGGTCCAAATGAGCGAGCAGGGTTCATACTGGCACCAGTGTAATTGATCTAAAACAGGGACAAAATGTTGCATGTTATTAGAACCTCAAGGGTAGTCATTCAGTGTCTTTCAGTCCTTTTACTATGGGAAAATCTGGTATTGCCTGGTGTCTACTACTAACAATGGGTATTATTACTCTCTGGAGTCTTATTACAAAATTAACAAAGCTATCACATGAACAGGCAGAAAATCTCAGATCCAGCACCCTACCCAAGAAGATCCTCCTGCTGTTTTCAAACTTTTTTGACGTGGATCCATACAAAATATGAATAACATGTTTTAGGCCCCTCACTACAAGAAAGACATTGAGGTTCTGGAATTCGTTCAGAGAAAGGCAACAAAGCTGTGAGGAGTCTGGAGCACAAATCTTATGGGGAACAGCTGAGGGAACTGGGATTGCTCAGTCTGGAGAAGAGGAGGCTCAGGGAGACCTTGTCACTTTTAACAACAGCCTTATAGGAAGTTGTAGTGCTGTTGGGGTTGAGCTCTTTTCCTAGGTAGCAGTGACAGGACAAGAGAGAATGGCCTCAAGGTGCCTCAGGGGAGGTTCAAATTGGATATTAGGAAACATTTCTTCTCCAAAAGAGTGGTGATGCATTGAAATGGGCTGCCGAGGGAGGTGGTGAAGTCACCGTTTATGGAGGTGTACCAGAAGCATTTAGATGATGTACTAAGGAACATGGTTTAGTGAGAAATACTGGTGGTAGGTAGCCAGTTGGATTGGATAATCTTGGAGGTCTTTTTCAACCTTAGTGATTCTAGGCTTTTATGATTCTATAATACAGTAGTTATATAGCTACAGCAGCTATAAAGTCTACAGAAGTTTCCATTTGCTTCTGAAGTAAGCATAAAGGGACAAAAGCTCTATTTTTCAAAAAGAAGGCATTAACTTACAGCAAATAAATGTCCAATTGCAACAGAAAATCCAATTGCTAAAGCTACTGAACCAGTGACATCACTTCGTTTTGAATCACAGCTGGCAAAAATAGTAAAAACCAGCTGGAATGTAATTATCAGCTCCACCAGGAGTCCATGGCCAGCGGAAAGATCCCCATGTACCTGGAGGAAGGAAACACAGGAGATGAAGCAAAGGTGATTTTGTAAATCAGAAAGACACCACCTACATTAATTACATTTCAGTGAATGGTATTTCAAAGTGGTACGCAGTGAAAGACAACAACAAACAAATAAAGGCACACATTCCCAACCCTCTCCTCCCCTTCCCTTTCTTTTTTTTTTTTTAATTTGAGAGCCATGGAAAATTACTGCTGGACTGACAACAGACGGCTTGCCAGTAACACCCAATGGGAACTTCAAAGTTAGACTGCAGAAGTATCCATTATTTTTACATGGGGATTTGCAAAGGCTGCACTTCCCGTTCACTGTTGTTTTTTTTTTTTTCTTGGGAGTGCTGTAATTTACTATTCAATTATAAATTCATTAATTAGCCCTGACTTAATTAATTTAAATTTCAATTAAAATTTAAGCAGTGTGCAGCTCAAGTGCATTTTTAATAAGTCCTGCAACAGGGCTAACTGATGGCATTTCTTATTAGTTTAGAACAAAGCTGAAATCTAAGCTACAATCTATTTCAAAAGTATGTCATTTTAAATTGATGTTTTTTCAATCCCCATCATAACAGCAGAGAATTAATTTCCCCTCCCCAGTCCATAAGAAAATGGCATTTCATGCATATATTATTTAAATTCTGCACGTAAATTAACATTACCTGCTGTCATCAGATTTAGGGAAGTTCTAGAAAAGCGTACTTCTATAAAAAGAATAGCTTAGATATAGTGTTGCATAAAGCCATCCCGGGGAGAGCTTAAAACCCTTTCTGGATGTTGTAAATAAACCAGCAAGCTCCTAAAACCTCTACTCGAGCTCTCTTTATTCTGTGTGATGCTGATTCTATGTTCTTAGGCTCTGAGTTACTCTACTGCACGTGCTGGAGCAGAAGTGATTACCGCAGTGACTCCCAGGCCTCCCACCACACTCGGTGGTGTGATGAGGTAGAGGATGCCAGCTCCCACGATGGCTCCCAGGCACTGGGCAAGAATGTAGAAGACCGACTTGGCGAGGCTGATCTTTCTTGTGCAGACCATGGCTACGGTCACAGCAGGGTTGATGTGGCCACCGCTGATGTGTCCAAAGCACTGCACCATGGTTGCAATGCTGAGTCCAAAGCAGAGAGAGATAAGGACCATGTCTACGGGCAGTGGCTTCTCTGATCCACCCCAGTTGATTGTAGAGCCGAGGCTGAGGAGGACAAAAATCAACATGGCCAAAAATTCTGCTGAAACGGCTTTCCAGAAGGGCTGAGTCCAGACTCCTTTGAATGCTACCATGATGCTCTCGCACTTGCACAGTCGTCCACACTTACTGGAAAGGAAAACAAATCTTCATCAGAAATCACCAAATAAGCCTAATTCTCTCCTGTAAGAGGGTTGTTATTTGGAAAGCTTGGAGGGGAGGCTCAAGGCAGAGTACCCTTGGAAGGGGGCAACACTGAACAGATTTGCTGTCAGAGCTGACTGCCTTTAAAACATTGTTGAAGCTCAACAGTTTGCAGGATGTGGGGTAATCAGTCATCCCCTGTGATAAGTCTGTCCCTGTTGCTTCGGTTCATGCAAAACAGACCCTTTATTTTTTCTTAAGTGTGAAAATAAATGTATTCTTCTATCCTAGCTGTCCTCTGTCTAACTAGGAGTCCTACCACTCCTAGCCCTAACACTTTCAATGGTCTGTTAAGCAGCATGCCCATTAAATTGGTGGTAACTTCTTTCTCTAATCAAATGTGAACTTTTCACAAGGCACGTGCAACAGTTCAGTGAAAAGCAACATTACAGAATCACAGAATGTCTTGGGTTGGAAGAGACCTTGAAATCTACCCAGTCCCACCCCGTGCCATGGGCAGGGCTGCCACCCAGAGCTCAGCTGCTCAGGGCCCCATCCAACCTGGCCTAGAGTGCCTCCAGGATGGGGCACCACAGCTTCTCTGGGCTGCTGTGCCAGTATCTTACCACCCTCTAAGTAATGATTTTTTCCTGATATCTAATCTAAATCGTCTGTCATTTAGTTTAAAGCAGTTCCCCTGTTTCCTATCACTATCAGAAAAAAAAGTTGGTTCCCCTTCTGCTTGTAAGCTCCCTTCATGTACTGAAAACTGCAAGGAGGTCTCCCCAAAGCCTTCTCTTCTCCAAGCTAAACAAGCCCAAGTCATAGTCAAACAAGCCTAAACCCATACTGTAGTCAAAACCTATTTATTTTTACAATAGAGTAGTGATGGAAGGTTGCCTTGGGATCTATAAGAGAAAGTTTGTTTTTCTGAACACACACACACAAACAAATATTTCAATTTGTACTTATACAAAGTGCAGTTTCTCCTTTCTGGACATAGGGTTAAGATTGAAACCAGCCAGGAGAATGGATGCAGTCCTAAATTTTGACTTTTACATGAACCATGCAGTCAATAAAATCTTTTCTGTTAGGCTAAGTGTGCAGAACAAGTAGTAGAACAGAACAACATTTTCTGCACATTTGTTGTGTATAATTGTGTGTGGCAAAGAAAGAAGTGTCTTGGATTTTTCACTGTCTGGAAATGCTATTTATTAGTCTGCACACCCTTCCTGATGAGTTACAGTCTTGCTAGATGCTCAGATACCTATGAAAGTGGGTCACCAAAGAAAAGTTATTTGTGGTATTAATAAATTAGGAGAATGAGCCAAAAGGGAAGCATTTTAATTAGTTTCTAAGGAATGCTAACAAGATTCTTCTTTAAAAACAAAAGCAAATAAAACCTCAAGCCCCTCCAAAAAACAAAAAAACAAACAAACCAACAAAACAAAACAAAACAACAACAAAAAACAACCAACAGAAAACAAAAGAAAGAATACTGCTGCTTTGGGAGCAGAATTTCAAGTGGAAGATGGGTGAATTTATGTTCAGTTATCTAAGGTAACCGAGCCGCAATGCATATTTAATACCACTTACATCAGGAAGAAGCATAAAATGCATGTCTAGTCATTTCAAGTTACAGCAAGAGGAATGGGCCATGAATTTCTTAACAGTTGTGGAAAATTAGAGAATAGCAATTTAACTCTGACTGGAGCAAATAATTTGTTTCCCTGCCTCATTTCTTATGCTAATTTACTGTGTGTTTTGGATAGGCCATTTGCATTCTATCTCAGTTCTTCGGACTCTCAGATGAGAACAAGAATTACATTACTTCCTGCAAATGGTTGTTGTAAAACACTTGTGAAGTGATCTGGCAGACTCAAAACTTTGAGCAGGATTTGTTTCACTCAAGGAGAATAGAAACCAGTACGTCAAAAGTGAAAAAAGTCAATACCCAAATCTGATTTTGTGTTAAGACAAACTGAAATAGTTTTTGTAAGATCTTATATTAACAGTCAGTTAATGACCAGCTATCAAGATCCAACTATTTGTTCAAAGAGGCTCCAAATGAAGCCATAGCTATTTTTACTCTCTTGCTACATCTTCACCAACAATTCAGTTCAGTGACCTGAGTAGGTCACAGGAGCAGTAACTGTACTGAGAAGAGCTCAGTGTCCCAGAACACGTCCCAGATGAACAGATCGTGTAGGGATGAGTCATATTCTGAACCCGTGAAAATAAACCTGGGTGCTCACTGGATGAACATCACTGGAAGCAGCACTCATCTTCACACCTATCTTCATTGAGATGCAACATTAGTTTTCCCAGCTCTAGCTTACACCTACTTTTGTGAGGTACAAAACACAAGCCCCAATATTATATTCCAGACTTGATGTTTGGACTAGATGATCTTAGCAGTCTGTTCCAACTTAAATGATTTTATCACTTCTGCAAAATTTACTACTGCTGAAGACACAAGGAGGGCACCAGATGTATTTGGAACATGGGAGAGAGGGATATGGGGACTCATGACTTTGTCCCAGCGTGCTTGACCACCACTTTCTGTACACAGACAACTGCAGATGTGCCCAGCCAGGCACCCATGACGGAGAGCAAACCTCATGCTGCTGCACCAACTGAGATCACATGCCATCCATTCAGCCAATGTCAGTTACAGCCCTCAAAATGCAAAAATGCTACATGCATTTATGTATGTAACTCAAGCAGAAAAGTTTGTTCATCAACATAAATGAAGTTTATACTTATCCGAAATAGCATACTGCATGGAAAACAAACAAACAAACAAAACATCCCAAATGGTAGAACTCTACTGCTAGTCATACTTTGATAGTTAATGACCTAAACACCTATTTTAATGCTGTTTTTTTTCCTCTGAAGCAGCCTGCTTTTCTATGATATTAACACCCAATGAAACACCCAGCTGTCACAGCAGAAGTTTTCTTTCAAGCTGCACAACTTTATTCCCCACAGCAAATCTAGCTCCCTCCCAACCACTCACATAAAAAAGGTTAATACAAGCTTAATATCACTTCTCTCTCTCTCTCTCTCTTTTTTTTTTTTTTTTTTTTGTCTTGGAGTCCAGGTTCTCACTTAAATCCAAAGGCTCACAGCAACTTAGATATCAATATCGTCTCCAATGCCCACTGTCCCATCTGCACACAGTTAACTTCAAGGCTTGAGATGGGAAACAGAAATGACTGCCAGGTCTGAAGCTGCTAAGAGACATCCCAGCATCTAAGATTTGCCACCAAAGTTGCAAAGCAGTTTTTGGAGAAGTTGCTGCTTGTGGTTGCCTTCCACAAATACAAAATAAAATATAACAGAAAAACAGAGCGGCGCTTTCAGGTTACGGTCACACATTCATTTCACGTGGCCACACTTGGAGCTCTCTGCTCTAGAATCACACAGCAGACAGTGTGTGATGGGACACGGGGTGGGTGCCACAGCTCAAGTTGCCGTCATGGTCTAAAGAGTCTGGGGTATGGAGCAGCCTTATTCTGGGCTCACGCATTGTCTGCAGTGACTGTTACGGCTCTGAAGCCGTAACAATATAAATAATAACAAAGGCTTCCCAGCAAATCCCAAACGGCACTTTTAATATTCTTTCTTCCCGGCTGATGACACTTCAGAGGGCAAAGGCACAGCCCTGCACTGCACGGCAGCCGTGTGCGTGCGGCAGCTGTACGCGCCGGCATCTCAGACGGACGCTGGGCACCCTTTGGCACACCGTCTCATTTTCCGTTACGATGTGAGCGAGCGGCTGAGAAGGGTACCCGCGGCAGGTGGGAGGGGAAGGCAGGGAAGCCCAGCACCACCGCTTTCTGCGGGACCGGAGCTCCGCACACGCACCTCACTTTAAGACCGCAAGCAGAGAATCAAACTTTTCGGGCGCGGAACGGAGACGCTCTGCGAGCCCTCCGTCCCCACTCTGCGCACCCACGGGCGACAGAAACGTATCGCCTTCGTGCTGCCGGGCTAACCCTGCGAGCCACCGCACCCCGAGCTCCCCGCTCCCCGGGGGTCACCTTCTCCCCCGAGCCGGGCCACCCCTCATTCTTTCTCTCCCTCCCTCCTTCCGCGGAGCGCACTCACCCGCGGCGCGGCGCGGCCGCCCGGTCGCTCATGCCTGTCCGGCAGCGCGGAGCCGCGGCAGCGCGGGCGCGGAGCAGCGGCGCTCACCGGGTGGGCGCGGGGTGGGCGCGGGGCGCGGGGGGGGGGCGCGGCTCCCGAGCGGGCGGCTGCCGAGCGGCGGGCCCCTACCTGCTGCTGCGGGAGGGCGGAGGGCGCTTGAGACGCTGCCGCCGGAGCCGCGGGTCATTTGCGATCATGTGAATATGCAGATTGGTGCGGGGGGTTCGAAGCTGCTGGCGAAAAGAGGGAGCCGGGGCCGAAGGGAAACCGCCGAGATCCCGAAGTGGGGGCTGCGCGGCATGGGGAAAAGCTCAAAGAGCGCTCTGCTTCTTCCAGCTGCGCGCTGGGCTCACAGAAATAAAGTGTAAGGCACTCTGCAAGCGGGGAACTTCGTCCATCTCTCATACCTATTGGTACCTCACCAGCAACACTATATGTTGCATAACGTAGTGTTCAGCTTGTTCCCCTTTGCAGCGTTCAGCAAAGTTTTGCCTACTGTGGGAAATTAATGTAGGCCACTGTAAAGAACTGATGAAACTATGCTGTGGTGCTGCCCCATTGGGTTCTATGGATTTAGTATTTTTCCTATACAATCATTTGAGTTAGAAGGGACCCTTAAAGGTCTTGTCCAACTCCCCTGCAGTGAACAGGGACATCTGCAGCTCAGTCAGGCTGCTCAGAGCCCCATCCAGTCCGACCTTGAGTTTCTCCAAGGACAGGACTTTAACCACCTCTGGGCAACCTGTTCCAGTGCCTCACCACCTTCATTGTAAAAAAGTTCTTCCATTTATCCAATCTAAATCTCCCTTCTTCTAGTTTGAAACCAT